GAGAAAATTAGAATTTATTGAAGCAGCACTCCTTATATAGGGCAGGACTTGGGAATCCACTTGTTTTGTCACTCTGTTCTCATACCTGGAACTAGTGAACAAGCTTGCAGTTGCCTGATTACATGGCTAAGTTCCCCTTGAAGATTAGCTCCACTAGAATTCTTGAGAGCCTCCAGCATATTCTCCACATCTACGGTGCCATCTCCTTCAGCATCAAATTGTGCAAAGGCCTGAAGAGGAACAAAAAAGAAAATTTATTTCAGCATATTTACTTCAAGCAGAAATTCAAGCTATTTCATAGAAACCGTAGCAGTAAACATTATAACACTGTTAAATAAAAATCAAAAGAATCCATTTTCCATAGTATTGAATTCATGACAACAGGAAACAGCCTGGCCTGGAAATGTGCAGTCTTTAGCAAGTTTTAAGGCACTTGCACTGCCTTCCTATAAAAGTCAACTGTAGTTATGCTTAGGTAGAGACAGCACATCATCTATACCAGTGAATCAGCAGTATCCATCCACCAACACCCGGGAGTATGAAGAAGGTGCTCACAAAAGAAGACTAAAAAGCTCTTCCATTAAAGCATGAGTTGGTTCTAAAAGCCATACCATCCAGCACTCAGTACTGCTGCATCCATCCCTCACTGCAGACACTCAAATTCTTTCAGGTTTTTTTTCTTTATTTTAAAAAGTGCCCTTAGAACCAGAATATTTTTTTAAATGTGTATTTCCTTCCATATACTGTCCTCCTACAAAAAAATACCAGTTTAACATAGTTTGTCAAAGTATTTGTGAAAACAATGGAGAGAGTTAGAAAAGATTTTTTTTTTCTTATTGAAGGGAACCATTGCCAGCTTTATTAACTTTGACCTTGATATAATTTTTTAAGATAAGAAGTTGTGTTGAGCATGTATAAAAAGTAACTCACACAGCTTGTACAAAAGTACAAGGTATTTTTATTCATCTAAGCCTATAAAACAGAACCAAGCTCACAAACGTAAATTTTTTAAAACTAGCCACTTCAGAGAACTCATGATCCAGTGACATACTACTATGAAAAAAACTAGCTATATTTTCACAATCATATTTAATTTTGAAACAAGCTTCTGTCTGATTGCTAAAAAAACCTGAACATACCCCAAAAAGAAACGCAATATGTCAGGAGCACCCATTTTTTTTCGTATAAATTGGGAATGCACTTACAAGCAAGACTTCAGTCTTCCAGGCCTGAACTTGGTAAGTTCAGCTACATAGCCAAGCAAATCTGGCCTCTAAGAACAGATAATGTCACAACTGTCTGACAGAGTCAAAAATCACTGCTGTTTGGGCAGAAGCTTATGCTTGAATTTCTTGGTTTGCTACCTGATTATCGAACTTGAGGTACCATTAAAAGCAGTATCCTAGAGAGAAATAATCTGAAACTATTAGATCAAAATAACCTGCCAATTAACCATGACATAATTACACCACTTAAATGAGAGCAAAGTCCTCGTAAGACAACAGAATTGAAATGCCATTTTAGCTGACTAAAGCTCCAACAGCACTTCTGCGGCACAGAGCTCAATTTTAGCTTAGCAGTTTTATAAACTCTTGTTAAACATACAGCTGAACCCCTGCTAACAGTGATCACCTTTAAAAAAATTATTCTTAGTAGCAAAGAAGACCAGTGCTGGGCATCCAGAAGGTACCACAGCCAGTACAGATGACTGATGCTGGGCATCAGTTAGATACCAAAGAAAAAACTAAGACCTCTGCTCGAGTACAACAACACAGAGGGAATTAATTTTAACAAACATAACTCGGTTGCCAAAATTCAATGCACAGTTTTGCATGACACCATTCTTGCCATTATGGCTTCTTCCCCTCATATTTGAAGTCAAACCCTGCAATTACTAAAATATGAAGAGAACAAGCGACCAAGTTTTGTGACGTTACTAGTGAAAACAAACCACACACGAGACGACAAGGCTGGATCTGCTGATAGATACTTTAAACCAATTTCTTATACTTTCATGTGAGGAGAGATTCCCACATATATGTTTTTCTTTGCATCTTAATGCAGTATTTTGTTATTTTATTTTTAAACTCTTCATATGACCTCAGGAGATTGCACCAACCCTAGAAGTCTAAAATTATTTTTTGACTGTTCAGTATAACTTAAACTCTGTATTTGACACAAAACATACGCAATTTCCACTACTCAGACAAGCTGCCCTGTGCAATGGGGGCATAAGCAAAAAAAAGAAAAAAAGAAAGAGAAAAAAAATCAGTACCCAAACCTCCACTCAGAGCTTTTGAGCTGTGTTCACAACTGGGACATGACACAAAATGCAGCAGCAGCTTTACCACAACCCAGCTGCTTTCTGCTCCTAAAAGCATTAAGTCCACACACTTCCTCCCCAGTTCAAACCTGAATGTAAAGAAACATAAAAGAAACATCTTTCCTGGGAAATGATGATCACCTGGCTAAGGCGATCGCTAGGAAACACAGCACATGACAAAAATCACTCCTTCATCTCACAGACAGCTCGGGAGTTGGACAGTGTGACAGAATATCTGAAGTGCGACTTAGGAAAACTCTGCATTTCATCCTTCACTCAGTAGAACTGCAGCATTAATGTTTCAAGTGGAAGTTGGATACACTACGTGATAGCTGCTGAAGCGCTAATGAATCAAAAAGGATTCAGAGGTTCAGTTTATCTAGAAAATACATTTTACATTTAAACAGAGGTTCACTTTGCCCATAAAACCTTCAAAGTATGTGTTTACAAGCACCACACTGAGAACAGAAAAACTTAACGGGCAGCTCAAAACAGCCTATGCCAGACAGGATTCCATAAACATTAAGAAGTGAAACCTACTGACCTGCCATCCACAAACTAACTTCTCATCAGTGCAAAATACATTCTGGAAATCTAAAATACTACAGCCCATGGGCTAGTACCAGTTATAGAAACAATGACATCAAGGTTTTCCACACAACTGCCAACATCCCAACTTCACAGGATAGGCTAGATGTGACCACATATCCGTACCATGATAAATCCTTTGACAAGTTTTTTCCCCCAGCTCGAGAGCAAGAAAAAAAAAAACCAAACCAAACCAACTATACTCTTCATGCAGAGGAGGATGTGCAACACAGACAATCCTCAAAGTATTTCTGCAGCCCGCAAAGCTCGCTTGTTTGCATTAACAGAGAGAACGCCGATGCAATAATTTCACTCCTACCGTCGTGACTAACGAAGAAGTGTTCTTTATTGGCTCTTGTAAAGGAACTGGAAATGGAGGCAGCATTTTAGCAAGTTACTTCAAAACAGTCTGGTATAAACATACCTATCTGTACAACAAAACTAATCTCTTCCCGGTTTCCAGTAGTCTTGTTAGTCTATCAGCACTGATTTCAAGGAGCACGTGTGTGATTTAACAGCTGACAGAGTTATTCTACTAGTCAGGAGCAATACAAAGACAGCAGGAAGTCACTGGTGAGACTCAGGAACTGCATGCAGTAAGAAACTCAGACACGACCACTTTCTCAACTGAGTGCGAAACTCCCAGCAGGGTATTCTACTGCATTTTAAATGCCGGCTAGAGAGTAAAGCTACAGCTTAAGTGTTCTAGATGGTAAGCTCTCCATACCCCTCCCCCACAGCAGGAAGCAAACTGCACTCTCTTCTACCATTAAAACCTTTCCTTAAGACCTTCCATCTGTGGAGAGAGAACTCTGTTACACTACTTCCTTACAAGTTTTCCAAAACTCTTACTTTACAATAAGTAGTGGGATACCAACGAGGTACTTGACAATTTCGCTTCCGATTTTGAAAAGCAACAATAAAATTAAGCCTGGTAGACTTTGACTTGTTGATAGCATTAAGAAGTATCTCAGAGGAATTGCTGGTATGGAGTTTCCTACCTGTGCTACCCCCAGCTGCACTAGCAGTAGCAACAGCAGAAATACTCTTGTAAATAACCATCTCGCCACGAGCGGCTGCTGAGCACCATCACTGAAAACAGGCACGAATTAAAAAAAAACCCAAACAACCGATATGCCTATCAGTAGCGGCAGGCACTTTTTTTTACCGGGCTGCAGAGCCCTCTGCTCCGGCCTTGCCCCGTTACCGGGAAGGGGTGACCGGCCTCTCCACAGCCACGCTGCTCGGACCCCACGCCACGGAGCCGGTGCCAGCGGGCCCACGCTGCTCAGGCCCGGGAAGAACCATCCCCCCCCGTTACCGGGAGACCCACCTCCAGCAGCAGCAGCCGCCCAGGGGCTCCCGCCGCCTCCCCCCCCCC